CCCCCCTCTCTTTTCGGCTCCTTTCATTCCTATTCCCGGCTCTCCTCGCTGTGTCCCCGACACAGGTTGTCACCTCCTCGCTATCGAAATAATCCCCGAAACGACCCCCCTCTCCTCTGTATATATATCTTTCTCTCTCTCTGGAGCTTATCTAGCGCAATCAGCGACTGTTATATCAATATTTATATAGTTTCGTTTTCCGGGAGAATCTTCTTTCTCGCCACGAAATTTTGCGTTTCTTTTTCTTTCTCTTTTTTTTTTTTTTTTTAACGCGTGGAAAATACTGGGAACAAAGGGAATATTTGGGGACGAGTACGAGTTTGAATAACTATAAATGCACCTTCGACTTCTCTTTCGACGTGGAAACGATTTTTCTGATTAAAAAATGTATATATATATATAGTTTCTCGAGGTTGTTCGAAAAAGATAGAAGAATAAATTACATCCAACTTTTTCTTTCTCTCTTTTTTTTTTTAACGCGTGGAAAATACTGGGAACAAAGGGAATATTTGGGGACGAGTACGAGTTTGAATAAGTATAAATTCACCTTCGACTTCTCTTTCGACGTGGAAACGATTTTTCTGATTAAAAAATGTATATATATATATATAGTTTCTCGAGGTTGTTCGAAAAAGATAGAAGAATAAATTACATCCAACTTTTCGCGAGGGAAAGATCATCGAGACGGTATAAAATATTTTATATATATATATATATAATTTATTATTCGTTAGCCTTGCTCATAGACGACCCATTTGCATAATATGTAAATGTATGCGCAATAGTTTCGATTGTATGTAAATAGTAATAGGTATACCATAGGATGTTTTGCGCAACGATCAACGTTCCTGGTCGCTCTTTGCGCCTCGCGCTTTGACTCGCCGCTTTTCGAACGAGAAACGCCGATTTTTCTCCGTTTCCTCCTCCCGCGAATCTAATTTATAACACGGATCAGGAGACATTCCTTTCCTCGCACGATCGAGCAAAAGGGGGGCGTGAACGATCTGCCTCTTACACCGAGTAATCGCGTTATCCACCCCCCAGGGGGGGGGGGTGAGGCGAGGGGTTCCAAACCACCACCCGTGGATACGCCCCACGGAGATCCTCCGCGCGTTGTCGAGAGAACCGCCGATAGTCGTGGACAACCAACTGCGACCTCGAGGAGAGATGATGATGGCCGTTTGATTCGTTGTCGCGAATGTCCCCAGTCGAAAAAGAGTTGACGCGTTATTCGAAACCGAGAGTAATTGCTATTGAAGTGTTCTCTTCGTTAAGAAGGGGATTAATGGATTTCAACTTCGAAATCGAAAGGCCTCTGTTGTTGTATTCGTGTTTGATATTTATATAGTCGAATTTCGTAGTATTGATAGTTTCTCTAGATTCTCTAGATTTTTGAAACGAGGTTTAATTAACGAACAGGGATCTTATATCGAGTGTGTAGATAAAATAGATAGCAGAGGTTGGATGGTAATTTGAAATGGAATAAGAGTTTGATTAAATTATTCAAGAGCTTGTGAATAGGCTGCGGATGTTTACGCAAATTGAAATATTCTCGGGGAAAAGTCGGATTTGGAGATCTTTGAATAATGTGTATTTCGAGTATTCTTTCTTTATTATTGTGTTATATTTTTTATATTCTTTTTCTTTCTACATTTCTTTCTAACTTATAATCGAAGAGAT